AAGATATTGATAGTTTTAATCAGTTATGATACTGTATCGCTCAATCAGAAAACATAAATTTGATTATATCTTGGATATGGAATTTAGTTTGAGATATTTTTACTCAATTCTTATTACGTTATTCTATTTGTTTTTACCTAAGAACCTTCAGTGAAATACCAGCTTCCATTTGAATGATTGATTATTAAGATCGGACGTACCTAAAGCACACTGCTAAATCACGAACAACACAAATTGTTCAAAAAATTGAGTTATTTATCATCAATCAATCAATCAATCAATTAATGGGGACGCCACTATGTGCGTATTTTAGCCCAAATATGAGTAAAGGATGAGTGGCGTGATCTTGTAGTCTCTTAAGGCCGACATATTCCTTATACACAGCTGTTAATTAATAGCCCAAACTGCTAATGGCAACTAAGGGACCTACAGTTTATAGTGGAATCCGAACCACATTCTTGCCTTGGTAAACAAATTGGTCGATTTATAGTCAAACGATCTTGCTTGCAACCTCAAAAGTACCGTAACTGTCGACTTTGACGGGTTTCACCTAGTAAATCTTGACCTATTAATTAATAAAATCGGTTCTGTAGGACTGTAGATTTAATTGTACAAAGTTTAACAACAACACCTTTCATTAATAGTTTCTCACCACTATAAATTGGGAGGTTGCTTTACGTTTTTGCAAATAGCTTTGAAATGGTGAGTAAATAGACCAAAGTGGAAGGTGATATTCTGATAGAGAATAAAATTTCCTACAAATTACTGTATTTCTTAAAATCTTACTAATATTATAAATGTGAAAGTTTGTGTGTTTGTTTGAAGTTCAATCACGCGTAAACCACTGGATGGATTTGGCTGAAATTTGACATGATGATAGCTCACATTCCCGATTAACATATAGGCATATTCTTATCTCACAAATCCTTTCGGGCTCCGCCCCAGTGGCTCTGTAGTTCCTCATGTTAACCTTATGAGTATTCATATTTAAAGGAAATTGAAGAATTTAATCAGCTGTTTCAACTAAGAAAGTTGGTTCTGACATACAAAAGCATTAAAAAGATATAAGATTTACAAACAGGGTGCAGCACTATAATCTATTTTGCATTTATGTAAACAGCTAATTTGAACTAAGCAGCAACAAAAAACTGTGATACGCAATGAGAACTGTCGAAGTAGGATTGTTTAGAATTATGTTTATGTTTTCAATGTCATGAATAATTTGTAATGTTTTGTGAATTCGTAATAGTTTATTTTTCTTTATTGTTTAGGTGAAGTGGTAGAACGTTATGGCTATGGTAGATGTGTTATACCATTAGTATACCGCCAATTTAAAGAAGCAAATTTTATCAAACTTTGTCCTCTCCCATTGCAAACGCAAAGCTTGAGTATAACTGCTTTAAGTATTTTAAACTTATACGCTACCCCGTACGAAGGACTCTGCTAGTACTCAATAAAGGCAGCCTAAAGTTGGCTGCAAATATAAACATGGAAATATAAACTTTGAAAAATGCGTTTTAAATGTAGGATTATTGTTTATTCTTATTTTTCAACTCAAATATGTAATAAAATCAAACTTTCATAATGATTTGCAACATGAATTAGGCTTTCCAAAGACCCAAAGTACGGTAACAAAATCGGTCCGGTTGAAGTCTAGATTTAGTTGTACAAAGTTAAACACAAATATATCTAATTCACTATTTTCTCACCACTATAAATTTGGAGATCACTTAGCTTATTGCCAATAACTTATGGAGTGGAAATCGACCAATGTGAATGTGATGTTCTGAAAGAGAATAAAATTTACTACAAAATAACTACCATGCATTTCTTGAAAATACTTAGTAAAGGCAACAAAAAGCTGATAGAAACTTTTAAACAGAAACTTTAAAAAAGCAAATGTATAAACATTTACTGATTTGGTTTAAATTAAATATTTACTATTAGAATTTGGGTTTGCGTACATATTACAATGTAAAAAACCTGGACAATTTTATGTATTTCACCAAATAAGAAAAATGAATGGACATATAGTAGTACTGTATTTCTTTAGCAATCATTGAAAAAAAAACAATTTGTTAACATGTAAACTAGGAAAGTCATAGAACGCTACCAAGTTCGTTAGCTCCATAGAGGTATATTTTATACAGATGAAAACTCAATGTTATTTTATTCAGTTTCATTACTTCAACGAGTGAGTTTTTGAAACTTTCCTTCACCGAGTGAAGTAAAGAAGTTGTTTACGTCACGCTTGGCATAGGGAAGTTTAACATGGCGGGTTAGGTAAAGAATCTTAACAGCTGTTTCAACTAAACAATATGATTCCGTGATGTTCAATATAGCATTAAAAAGTTAATAGGTTTACCAACAGGGTGCAGCACCCCTGTCAGGGATTTTGAAAGAATTTTAGTTAGATTAGTTTACTAACAAAATATATGGATGAAGTAAAATTTAAAACATGCTTTGTAAATTAATGGTATGTTTCGGGAATAAATAGTTTTATTTTAAAATGACAGAAAGTAAATTAAAGAAACGTCTTATAACACTTAAAACATATATTTACGCTTATACTGTTACTAACATGACGGTAGATATACAGAAAAAAATGGTAAGTAGTTACTTACCAGTGGTTACTTAAGTTGTTATTTTTGTATATTTACCGTCTTGTGAGTAACAGTATAAGCGAAAATATATGTTTTAAGTGTTATAAGACGTTTCTTTTATTTACTTTCCGTAAGTAGTATGGTATATGCCGGTTCTGCGCCGCCCCAAGAGACACCTCTTGGGGCGAAGCCATATGATTGGTCGGAGAGTTCACGTGACTAAGTTTTCTGATTTATTTCACAATTAATGTGATACGACGGGTTTTCGCGTGTATTTATTTTAAGTGTTTAGGGTGCAGACAAAAATAAAACTTATTAATAGCTTGGTTAATATCTATCTATATATATAATACGTAAAGCCGTATTTTGTTAACGCAATTCCTCCCTTATTTGTGGACCAATTTCAACGTTTAAGATGTCAACAAATTCGTCTCAATATTTAGTTTTACAATAAGGTTTTAGAACTTTAAAATTCTACTCTTAGGGGCGTGAGACCCTCTCAAAGGTTGGATTTTCTCCATAAGAAAAACATAGAACAAATTTAAAAACAAAAACAGCTGTTTATAAAAAGACGCGCATTAGCTTTATAATGTTTTAATATTCAGTATGTTAAGACCAAGTTAAACAGTTAATCAGTTTTGTTGGAAAAACGGAAAATGCCTAAAGCTGAAAGAAGAAATATTGAAAACGGGAGGAGGAGACAATTAATAGACAATTAACGGGAGGAGGTATCTTATGCGTATGAGGAAGTGAAAAAATTGAAGCACATAGTGTTGTCACGGTTGTAAAATAAACTTGCCTAATGTCAGATCAAATCAATGTAAGCAAGAAATTTTTACTTATGACACTGACAGATCGAGATATTTCAAAACATTTATTAGAAACCATAATAATGCCTTGAGTTGATAAGTTCAAGTAGTAAGATTATACCAAATCTTGGCGGACTTTATGTTTTAGTTGTAAACTGTTTTGTATTACTCGCTCTACTTTAATTGAGGAAAAACACAAATGGATTGTTTACTTCTAGGTTATGTTGCCAATTCCTCGGACAAACGTATAAAACGTTTTTTGACTGAATTTTAGTGACAATATTAGACATAAGTGAAGGAATTAGTGTAATCAACGATCGAGTAGTTACAGTCAAGTTTATTTTCATGATTCAGGAGAGGCAAATAATATATGCTGTTCAAAAAGAGAAAATGAAAATTGCTATCCAAATCTTATAGCTACAAAAGTTATCCAACCTATTTCGACAAATGAATCCATACTTTCAAAATTTTGGGACAGGTATTAAGAGAAACCCCACTGAACAACGTGAGGACATTCTGATGCGGGGCATATACTGTGACTAACAACACACAACATGTTAAAATACGTTAAACTATCAATGGTGTTGTTGCTTTAGCCTATTCAAAGCAGATTATGGCTTTCCAGTTGATAACCCAGAGTTTGTGGGTAAAAAATGGAGCACATTAAATTGTTGATGTCACCCCACTTTCCAGGATTCTCTACGGAGAAAATTCGTTTGATTAGGGGGATGTCTAGACAAAAGTTTTCTTCAATTCTCAAAGTTGGAAAAACTTTGTTGCAACATGTTTGCTCGAATTGAGGCAGATTGTTTGGCATTCATTAGAAGCTATCAGTTAAAACTGAGAGCAGAAAAATGCAGGTGCACCTTGACGACGCAAATAGAGATATTTAAAATTAGTTTCTAACAAGTGTTTAAACAGCTCTAATATGTAGACCTAACTAGAATTACTCGAATTTAAGCGTAACGTTTTCCTCAGCGTTATGTTTCATTCTATGCGGCTCATTGAGCCGCACGGGTTCTCTAGTAAATTTGAAATGTATAACACATTCTATATTTAAATTCTAGGCAGGATGTTACCCGTCCTCTCTTGGTTATGATTTTTTATATTGATGTGGTGTTTGAAAGATAACTAGTTTACTATAGCGTAATAATTTGTTAGACTCCCTAACGTGTGTAGAACTGAAAAGTACTTTATTAGTTCAATATATTAAGGTAGGTTGTACGTATAAAAAAGAGAAAAATGGTTCTATGTTCACCCTTTATTTTATAGAAAGAAAGGAATCGAGGGCATGACAACATAATATGTGTATAGTCCTCTTTGATAAACAAATTTTTCCTTTGATAGAGTATGTCTCTGGTATGCAATATTTACACGCAAGCTGAGTTAAACTTTACTTTGTTCTCCATAATTCAATCAGGATAATTTGTAATATACCCACGGCAAAGTACTTATACCATCACTTGAAATGTGTCTTTTGTCATCATGAGCTGACAATGAAATCTTGTTGAGTTCCATACTACACAGGTCATGTTTATAGCTCCTAATTACGTTACTTGGACTGTATTTGTCAATTTTGAGGTTTCAGTCAGTCAGTGTAGTCCTGGAAGCTGATGCCATTGTCGACATAGTGCTCTACATTCCACATCACCCATGAGGTAGGAGCATGATGCGTTTTTTTTATAGTGGTTTCCCCAAGAGGCCTAGCCCAGACAACATAACATGTGTCCGGTCCACTTCAGATTTCCTTCAAATTTTTTTTCTTCATTTTTTTTTTTCTTCAAATTGACATTTTTCTTCAAATTCACATTTTTCTTCAAATTCATATTCTTCAAATTCATATTTTAACCGGTAATAGAGTATTTTTCTTCAAATTCATATTTTCTTCAAATTCATATATTCTTCACATTCATATTTTATCCGTTAATAGAGTATGTCTTTGCTATTTTATACAATATTTACATTCGAGTTTAGTCAATTCTTCATTCTCATTCTTCTTCATTCTTCATTCTCTATCTTTCAATTCTCAGGTATTTTGTAGTGTCCCCACGGCAAAGTACTAATACCATCACTTAAAATGAATCTTTTGTCATCATGAGCTGACAACGAAATCTTGTTGAGTTCCACACTATACAGTTCATGCTTATAGCTCCTAATTACGTTATTTGGACAGTATTTGTTAATTTGGGTTTTCAGGCAGTCTTTGTAGTCTTGGAATGTAATACTATTTTCTACAACTGCTCTTTTAACTCCTTTTGATCTTTTTGAGATGCTGTCATTTTCTGACCTACTTGCATACATTTTTGATTTCAACGCAATGTGTTCAAACATAATTCTTCCATTTAGTTCATCCTTGAACTTTCCGATGATCTTCTTATTAGTGACACTGAAACATGGATGATTAGGTGGGTAGTCACTCGTGTCGAAAAAATCTTGCATTTCCTTCATATCTTTATATACATCATCAGTATATGTTAAGTATGTAAGTGAATCTGTGTCTGTGTACTGCAATTGAACTTTATCCCCGTATCGTGCTTTTATCACATTGTAGTGAAAGTCATACATCAATGTCTTAGACACGTCCAAAATACTCATTCCCACGTAGATAGGTTTGTTGAATACAAGTTTGGTCTTGCTCATGTGTACTGCCGCAAGTTGATCCGTAAATATTGTTCTCCTCTTGAAGTTAGGTTGAGCCAACCACTTGTCTACTTGTTTTTCCTTTGTCGCCAACCGGATGTTGACACGATTCCGAATGTTTTCCATGGTTTTGCCAAACACGGCATTATTCATAAGCTTGAAAAAATCCTTTTCAAAATTGTTTGTAGCTTTAGTTCTCATACTAGTATTCAGATCGATGTAAGGTTTAAGCCAGTTGCTCTGAGTGAAACTTATTGCTTTGTGAATATTCTTTAATTTCAAACCGAGAGAGATGTATTGCTTCAAATTCCGAAAGTGTAGAACATATCTCTTTTTGTCAAACAATGTGGCTAGAAGTTTCTCTTGTTTAGATCCGGGTGGTATTTGTCTTTCAGGTGCTAGAGGTAGATCGGAATGTAGGTCGTGCAGTTCTTGGGGATACTCTAAATCTACTTCCAATATGTATCCCATATTTCCATCATCTGGAACTGATAAAATATCAAGGTTGTGAACATCTTCTACCCACTTGAAATCAGAGTAAGGCATATGTTGGCTCATAGCCCAGCCATACAAGTTATTGGCGTCAAGGTATGTAAGATATGACGTGGGCAAATTTTCATTATAACGTTCCTCCATGTATTTGTTATTGGCAGTGGCGTACCGGTTCGAACATTGTGATAATCCTCCTCGTATCCCGTTTCCAATCATTAGAATCATATTGTAGTCTGATAAAAGTTCAAGTTCGATCTCGGTTGTTTTGAGCATGGCACTCCAAGCTAGTCCTGGTGCTGTGTAGTACCATGCTGGGTCCAGCTGGTAAGTCTCCATACAAATGTTTCGAAAGTTCTCCATGACGTCTGCTAATTGCAATACATCTGATTGGTTGTAGAGTAAAGTGTATGCTTTCATGCTTTGTATATTAAATTCGTTCCAAACTTTGCTTGCATGCTCATAGTCTTCATCTTCAATGTTGGTCATGGTTAGTTTGTTGTAGAAGTCTTTCTTATGTGGGAGTGACGTGTATTCAAATTTCTGTAGGGAGTCCATAAAGTCATAAGGGTACACACCCTTTTTTTGCAGCAGCTTCAGCTGTTCACTCGAGTAGTACTTCGAAGTATGCTTAAAATGTTGAGGAGATAAGTTCTTGACGAGTATGTCTAAACTACTTGACATGAATTTAACCGAATCTACAAATCTCAAATCAATACCTCCTTTTACATGAACAGTATAAGAAATATATTTTTCCTCGTTATTTGGTATAACATCAATAGTGTCATCATTCAAACCAAACATTTTGATAAACAGGTGAGTATCGTATCCAGAAAGATTGTGAATAAATATGGGGAGGAAATGAGGTTTTCTAAAATTTAAATTACAAGCGTTGTGCGCTGGACCCCTTAGTTTTCCTGTAAGATGGTCATGGTCTCTAACAAACGGCTTGTCTTCTGTAAACTCCTTTCCACAAATATGGCACTGAGTGGCCGTCAATAGAGTAATATCGTCCTCCTCTGAAAGTTCCATTGGCTTAGCAGCTTCTTTTGAATATAGATAGCTTATTTTCTTAGACTCGTTGAACAACCTCTCTACAAAAACCTGAGCTGCATCTTCGCCAAAGTATGTTACTGGCCTTGCATAATTGTGTTCTTCTTGTACTATGTAATACGAAAAACTAATCGCATCATGTTTTTGGTACTTTTTCGTGTACGATCCGCTTGTGTATTCCTCTTCACTTCCGGTAGAATGTACTGGAGTAAGCATACATTCAAAATCAGCATAGACGACGAATGGCACTTTCATTCTCTTATTAAAGTCATTAAACTTTATTGTTTCACCTTCTTTGGGCATTATGATCTTAACTGCTTCGTGCTGCTTACAATATTCTCTATGTGTTTTCAATAAATCTTCTGTGCCAAAATGTGATAGGCACCGTCTACATATGTGGATACTATGTGAATGCTTTGATTTCTGTGCTCCAACAAGTCTACTTAGATTTTTAATTAGGCAATAATGTGTATTCTTCTCATCCTTTAAGTATAGTAAATCAACATGTTGCTCTTTCTCCTCATCGGTTGTCAGTAATGGATACACAACCCACTTTTCATCATGGCTGTAAACATTTATGGATATCCCAGTTCGCTTTTCAAAAAGTTTAACGTTACTCAAACTGACCGGGAAATCAATCCCATTCATGGCATAATCAAAGTCGTGCTCATATTTCTGGTAGTGTTGTGTTCTGTAAGGGTGTTCTGCCCTATCTACAGGATGCAGAGCAGCAAGTATTGACCACAAAAAACATTTTTGGTCTTTATTTACAATATTTATAGTGGCTCTCTTGTTTTTAATTGGTTCCGGCAGGTCTATGTATGAAGAACCTCTTAATGGTACATAGCGGTTGATCCTTAGTTCTATGTTAAGTATCCTATTCAGGGACCAACCTGATCCCTTAGTCTGGAACTCCTCCATTTCAGTCAAGATTTTCTTTTCTTTAGTTTGTAACTGATCTTCTATATTCGTGGTTGAGTATATGATATCGTTTTGAGTTTTAAAATTGATTTCTTGAAAAATTTCTTCATCGTTAGATGTTTTTTTAAACTCAGTTAAAAGTACAATGTTTATTTTTACGTTATTATTTTGCACTTGCTTGGCTATTTTATCATAAAATAGAGGTCTTGATAGTTTAAGAAACTGTATAGGGTCTTTTATCGCAAGCGTGTTGTCAATTACATACGTTTTCATTCTATTCTTGAACGCCTTCTCTAACTCTTTTATTTCTAGGTTAGGTTTAGGTTCTGCCATGTCGTTATTGGTTGATATTGCAGTGTTGTTTGTGGAAAGTACGGATGATTGGAGAGTATTTGTAGCGGAGCTAGTTGTGGGCATTACACTTTCCACGGGCTGGCTAGAGCTATTTGATTGTGCATTATTTTCCACGCAATGTTTTTTTGCAGCTGGAGCAGCAAGTTCATCTCTTGAACGTTTTGTAGTACATATTTTTAGATGGCGTGATTTGTGGGATAATGTCACTAATGTGCCACACAACTCACAAGGCTTCTGTGGTTCAATTGTACGCACCTGTGCACCACGGCAGGTTTTTAAGTGACGCACCATGTTTTTTGATAAAACAGTCCTGTTGCACTTAACACAAGTTTGTTTGTTCGCTTCCATTTTAAAATTTTTGTCCCTGGATCTCTGGATGTCCGTGGCCTATGATTTCTGTCTAAAACTCAGGATTTTACGTAGTAAGCTTCTCCTCTTCCTTCCTTTAAAACCACTCGATTATGACTGATTTGTCTTGCTCTTCTCACCGCTATTTATAGCAGAAAACTGTAAAAAATTAACACTTTTGTCTCTGGATCTCTGGATGGTCGTTTCTTATGGTTTCCATCTAAAACATAGTATTTTTTCAGTATGCTTGTCCTCTTCTTTTCTTCAGAATATCTTGATTATGATTGATTTGTCTCTCTCTTCTCGCCCCTATTTATTGCAGAAAGCTGTAAAAACTTACACTTTTGTCTCTGGATCTCTGGATGGCCGTGTCCTATGGTTTTCGTCTAAAACACTGGCTTTTTCGCAGTATGCTTCTCCTCTTCTTCTCTTCAAAACCACTCGATTATGACTGGTTAGTCTCGCTCTTCTCACCGCTATTTATAGCAGAAAACTGTAAAAAACGAACACTTTTGTTTCTGGATCTCTGGGAGGTCGTTTCCTATGGTTTCCGTCAAAAAGACAGGGTTTTACGTAGTAAGCTTCTCCTCTTCTTTCCTTCAAAACCACTCGATTATGACTGATTTTTCTTGCTCTTCTCACCGCTATTTATAGCAGAAAACTTTAAAAACTAACACTTTTGTCTCTGGATCTCCGGATGGCCGTGTCCTATGGTTTATGTCTAAAACACAGGGTTTTACGTAGTAAGCTTCTCCTCTTCCTTCCTTTAAAACCACTCGATTATGACTGATTTGTCTTGCTCTTCTCACCGCTATTTATAGCAGAAAACTGTAAAAAATTAACACTTTTGTCTCTGGATCTCTGGATGGTCGTGTCCTATGGTTTCCGTCTAAAAGACAGGATTTGACGTAGTATGCTTCTCCTCTTCCTTTCTTCAAAACCACTCGGTTATGACTGATTTGTCTCGCTCTTCTGACCACTATTTATAGCAGAAAACTGTAAAAAACTAACACTGTTGTCTCTGGATCTTTGGATGGACGTGTTCAATAGTTTCCGTCTAAAATACAGGATTTTAGGTAGTATGCTTTTTCTCTTCTTCTCTTTGAAATCACTTGATTATGACTGATTTGTAGATAGCTCTTCTCACTCAAATAGCTCTTCTCACCGCTATTTATAGCAGAAAACTGGAAAAAACATACACTTTTGTCTCTTTATCTCTGGATGTTCGTTTTCTATGGTTTACGTCCAAAACACACACATTTCCGTGAGATATTTTTTCTCTTCGAGTCTTCAAAAGCACATCTAAAGTGCATCTTTTACGTATGATGCTAGTCCTCTTCCCTTACTCCAAAGCGCTTAAGTGTGAATGATATAACTAAATATTTCTAATCACTTTTCATATAGGAAAATTCATGAAATGCCCACCATTTTGTCTCTTCATTATTATTATCTTACATTTAAACAATTTGTACCTAAAATAAACAACAAAAATGAAATAAGCTATACATTACGGATTATGTTATTGAATTACAGGATAGACAATTAATTATAATTCTCACTTGAACAGCTCTAGATGTTTGAGAACCAGAGTTAACTGCTGATACACAGTTTTGTAAACAGTCACTATAAGATATTCAGACAAAGAAACAAAAGTTTGCAATTTAGTTTGTGGGAGGATGCAACATTACTCACATTAGAAGTGTTATTAATGTTTACTCATTGGTACATGTAATGTGCTGACGTTTCTTCCAGGCAAATCATGGGTCCAGGCAAATCACGAGCTACAGCACTGCTCTCTGTAAACGGAGTTTCATCTCTAAATTATTCTGGATATATTTTCAAATAAACATTTAGCTAAATACTCCCACTGCAACAAACCTGCTGACTAAGCGAATTTCCATTTGTCTGAGTTAATTTTCAATGAAATCTGTATATGCAAGGAAACTATTAAATTTTACAATATTCTCCATAAACTAATATTTTTTTATTTTCTCCGTTACCAATAACTCTACAAAAACCCTTAATATAATAAATTATTGGTTTTTAAGCTCTTTAGAAAAGGTCTAGAGAGAAGTTGGTAAATTTTGTATTTTGAGGGTTAAAAATAACCTCGCCAAAGCAAACCTGCAGACTAAGCCAATTTCCATTACTTAGCTGGATTTTTATTCAAATATTTCCTGAAAATTATCAAATTTATTCCCTATTTAAATAACATTAATTTTAATGAGTAAATAGTATTGCTGCTACAGGGAAGGTATTGAGTTGTGTTTTTTTATTGAAATGTTAGTAGCTTAGTATTAAATAAACAAAATTACCAAATTTGATTAAAATCTATCCATAAACAAGGAAAATGAAACAGTTGATCTATTCTCCGTAAGAATAACAGGTGAATTTTTATCTAAAGTTGTTTTAAATTATCTCCGCAACCATCAGGCATACAACAACACTTCAATATAAAAAATTTTTTTTTTTACTCTACAATGGTTTGGAAAGAAATCGTGAAATTTTATTTTTTAAACCAAAAATGGGAAAAAATATTTTTTTACTCCATAAAACCGCCATATCATTTTTGCTTGAGTTATCGCGCTAGCGGACTTACACAAATATTTACATGAATTTGAACGGAGGGTAATTTAGGCCTCTGGGAACCTCAAAACGAAAAAGTAAATCGGTAAAGGGGCTACGTCTTACCATGGTAACAGTTATGGTAACAGCTTATTCCCTTTATGGGAAGTTCGCTAAAATGAGAAAACCCATTTATTTTACCCAATGGAAGCCCCCATAAAACCCCGTCCGTCATGCTGGTCATCCCGCCTTACACATTTAAACAACATTTCATCAAAATCGGACAAAAATTACTCAAATGACAAACATATATATATATACACATATATATATATATCTGAACGAGTAGTGTTTTTGGCCTCTGGGGACATCAAAATGAAAAAAGTAAATCAGTTCCAGCTAGGTATTACCGTTATGGTGATTGCTACTTTTCTATATGAAAATTGGCTAAAACCAACTTAAAGCTAGTATCGCATAAAATTGAACAAATTAGGTATCCTTACTTAAGAAAAGATAGCACAACAACCATACCTATTTTCTTTAGATAGTTTTTATTTTAATTTTTTAGGCAACCTTCCACTAACACTTGTGCAGGAGTGAAAGATAAATGATTAGGCAGCTTTGTGTGGACATCTTCACCTTCCCCCACTGTAGACGTTTTTCGTATGAGGACGCAATCCAAGATCGTAAATTGAGTGAATTTTGAAAATAACGTAAAGCCTGTGTGAAGTTACTTCGTCATACTACTCAATATATACAGATAACTATTTCACAAAACATAGATTTAACAAATTCTTCTAAAAAATAGCCTTATATCTTTTTATTCCTATTTAAATAGTTAGCTGATTGTCTGCTATGGTTTTATAAGTGTTAAGTTAGACTGACTATAACGATGGATGATGTAATACTGTACAGGTTTACTCCGTAAAATGAGCGAGTTTTAAAAATCAGCTTTTAACCCGTTTAATGAACGATAATTTTCATCATATTACTCAATATATTAGGACAACTACTTCAAAAAAAAAAAAAAATGATTTAACAACTTATTTACCTTTATAAGAATTCTTAAAGATATCCTTACACCTTGTAAATCAGCTGATTGTCTGTAACGGTTA